CCCCAAAACCCCAAAACCCCAAAACCCCGTGGAGGATTGGAGGTGTTGAATTGATTGATATAGGTATTGGGACATTTTATTGAAGGAGAGTGTTGGAAATTGGAGGTTCTTATGTCTTTATCTTGCTAGACGTTAAATACCATTTGAAAGTAGAGATTTTGATGAAATTCCAGGTCAGGTTCCTCACCAAACACTTTTTCTAAAACTTGCTGGTATTCTCTATCTATTCTCTTGACTATCTGAGCTCCTGAGCTTGTAACAATAGAAACCTCTTTGATAGAGTTTGAAGCAAGAATCTTAGACATGAGTACAGTCTTAGCTTTTAATGTGATTTTCTCTAAATCATAATAATCAACTTCCAGTGTGAGTCTAGTGACTTCGAAAGAAAGCAGTTCACCCAAGAACAAGTGGGTGTCTCTTAAATTGCTCATTGACAAATCAAAATGAGTCCATTTTCAGTCTTTCAGAGCTGAAAAAATTTCCTTTGAAGCTGAGGCTTGAGTAAACATCAGCTCTAAAGTTTCTCATCTTGATGGTCTTTGAGAGATAAGAGTTTGTTCCCCAACGATTAATTCAAATTCTTGAGGCTCAATGTAAATTTCATGATCGGAAGGCTTCCAATAAGCATTGCTACTCAGGAAGCTTTTGGCCTCTCCTTTTGTAGAAAGAAAAGACTCAAGCTCAGATAAATAATGAGTATTTTTAGAGTGGATATTCTCAATCGTTATTATGGAGTCGTCTGTTGTCTTATAAAATTGTCTATTTTGTGGAAGTCCTGTATAACTCACAACTACTCTTGAAGAACTAAAGGATCCATACTCTCGATTGCTAAAGCTTTTGTAAAACACATTGCAGTTTTTCATGACTGCCCAAGTTATTTTAGGATCGAATGATTTCAGAATTGTTCCCTCTTGAATATATTCGATGAACAAATCGCTATTAATTTTTCTCCCAAAGCATAGCTTTGGGTTGAAAGTTATCTTGTCTAAATTTGGAAATATTTTGACAAGTTTTGCACTCATATCGCTCATTGTGTTTTCATTGCACAATTCCTCTAAAGGATAATATCCAAAGTGGATTTCTCTACATGAGTCACAGATTGTGGGCCCAATGAGTTCTGATAATTCATCTATTCGGTTAAATATTTAGAAAGCTTACCAATGTCTTGGAGATATTTGAAGGAAATATCATCAAAGTAGATTTTATCAACTTCTTTGATCAAGCTGCTCCCGGTATGGTGTAAAAACTCGATATGGGATTTGCTGGTAAGTATCGAAAGCTTGATTTTTTGAGTGTACTTTATGATATGATCCTCGCTTTGAGGTTTGAACTTGTTAAGTCCTTCCACCTGAATTCATGAAGTATTCAATGAGTGCTCTTCAAGCACATTAAATGGATGATTTAAGATATCACATCCCATTTCTCTCTGGTAATAGACAGAGATCTTCTTGAATTTTATCATATCTCTGTGTTTGAAGCTTCTAATAAACTCTCAGAATTCTATGATTGCCTCTTCTGTTTGTAATACAATCAAATATTCATAAAGATAGAATTCAAAATGATTTCTCATGCCATTAAAGTATACAACAAAATCATTATTAAAATTCCAATTTCCTCTTACAGTCCTCCTATCCGCCTCCCTCCAAAGGCCATTAAGAAAAGCTTTGCTATAATTAACCCAAAGCTCTCTTGAAGACCTTCACAAAGAATACAACAAATTCTGTCACTCGCTTATATCTCCATAAAACTTCATAACATTTATCGCCTGTCCAAAACTCCCAAGAAGTCCTATCACCCCTATCTGTAATCCTGACCTTCCTCCTACATCACCATAAGTGACTTCCCAAAACCCAACCTCCAAAGCTCCGTTCAAACCTGCTTAACTCACTTTGTCATATTTCTTCTTTATTGAGTTCCTTCTCCATTATCGAACAAATTTTATTATTCTCAACCTTTTGGTCTTTTTCTGGGGTTTTGGGGTTTTGGGGTTTTGGGGTTTTGGGGTTTTGGGG